TGTTTCCTTTTTTAAAAGGAAAGACATTACAGATGTAAGCGAAGCCCAGTATGTATTTGAACTAGATCCCACTCTCCACTTTCCTTCACCAGAGGTGAGTACCCTCCTGAAGTTGTGGATCGTTCCTATGCATATTGTTATATTTTTACTATATAAAAGAATGTATTCATACACCATACTGAGTGTTTTCTGTGTTTTTTATTTTTATTTTTTTTTGAGACAGGGTCTTGCGCTGTTACCCAGGCTCGGGTGCAGTGGTGTCATCATAGCTCACTGCAGCCTCTGCCTTCCAGACTCAAGGGACCCACTCACCTCAGTGTCCCTAGTAGCTGGGACTACAGGTGTGCACTACCACTCCCAGCTAATTATATTTTTTGTTTTTGTATTTTTTTTTTTGTAGAGTGAAGGTCTCACTATGTTGCCCAGGCTGGTCTCAAACTCCTGGGCTCAAGCAATCCTCCTACCTTGGCCTCCCAAAGTACTTGGGATTACAGGCATAAGCCACTGTGCCTAGCTATTTTCTGTGGTTTTTAAAACTTTAAAGATTATCGAGTACCTATCGTCTTGCTACTTGCTTTTTCATTCAACTCGATGACTTTGAGACTTTTCGTCATGCCAATACACGTAACTTTGTTTCTTTCTTTTCCACGACTACATAGTATTGTGTGGTTGAAACAAGGTTTGTTCACTGCTCATTTCTTCTCCAACTAATGGGCTTTTATGTTATTTCAAAATTTTAAATTATAAAAACAATGCTTCACAGGTACACTTGGGCAAGGATTTTTCTAGGCTATGTTAATTGGTATGAAATTCCTGAGTTGTAGAACAGGCATATCCCTAACTTTGTTAGACATTGCCAATTTTTCCTCCCAAATGGTTTTTCCTAATCTTACAGTCACCAGCAGTACCTGGAAGCTCCTGCCACTTCACACCCCTTGGCATGAGCTGGTATTATCAGACGTGAATTTCTGCCATCACAGGGCGTGTGAATGGTATGTCATTATGGATTTAATTTGCATTTGTCTGCTTTCTAATGATGTGGTGCATCTTTTTATAACTTTATTGGGCATTTAGTTTTCCCCTTTATAAACTACTATGTTAATTTTCTCTTTCTTGTTTGTCTTTTAGGCTTTATCTTTGTTCTAAATATCATGTCTTCACTGGTCTTGTGCTTTGCTATTCTGCGACCCCCGCCCACCCCAATTTGTGGCTTGTTTTTCAGATTTGTTCTTAGAATCCTATTTGTTCAGATGTTTCAGATTTTAATGTAGTAAGCCACATTAATCTTTTCTTTTACAATTTATGCTTTTTGTGACTTCTTGAATCCTTTCCTGTCCTGATGTCAAATATACTCTTTATCTATCTATCTATCTATCTATCTATCTATCTATCTATCTATCTTAGAATTCTATAACTTTGTTTTTCACATTTAGGTTTATAATCCATCTGAGATAGATTTTTGTGTGGCTATACACATAAACAATTGTCTCATCCCCATTTATTGACAAATCTGTCTTTCCCCAGTGATTTGTAATGCCACTTATAGTTTCCATCTACACGAGTCCATTTCTGGGCTCCTATCCTTTTGAATTTGTTTATTGTCTATCTCTGCCAGTACCATACTGTGTTAAATTGCATTAAATGGCTTTATAATACATCTTGTTATATGCTACTCCAAGTTCTCCACCTTGTAATTTTTATTCAAGAGTGTCTTGACTCCTTACACTTTTATATATAAGATTACCTTGTTGAGTTCATGAAAAACTCTGTTAGGATGTTGATTGGAATTACATGGAATTTATGATTTAATTAATAATGAATTATCGTCTTTATGATATTGAGTCTTCCCATTTGTGATAAAGGTATTCAGACTTTCATTCATGTCCGTTAATCATGTGTTACAATTTTCCTCATGGGAATACACATTTTCTGTTTGTTTATTTCTAGGTACTTTGTGGTTTATAGTATTGATTATTTTTTACATCTTATAATTGGTTATTGTTGGTATGGAAGAACAATATAAGTTTTTAGATATGAATTTTAAATCCAGAAAATTTACTGAGCTCTATTATTAATTTATTTGTTAGAAGATTTAGATTTAGGAAATCATAGTGCCTGCAAAGAACAGTTTTGTCCCTTTCTTTGCACATTGCCACTTTTTTCATTTCCTGTTGGACTGGCTCAGACCTCAAGTGAAATAATGAATAGTAGGGATGATAAAGGGCATCCTTGTCTTGCTCTTTATTGTAAAGAAATATTACTAATCTTTCATTGTATAAATGATTTGTTTGGACTCGACATGGTGGCATATGCCTTAAATTTCAGTGCTTTTGGAGGCTGAGACGGGAGGATCACTTGAGCCCAGATGTTCCAGGCTGCAGTGAGCTATGATGGCGCCACTGCACTCCAGCCTGGGTGACAGAGAGAGACCCTATCCCTAAAAATAAAAATGATTTCTTTTGGTAAGTCTGATTTAACCGATATTAATCCTTTTGTCCTACTTTTAGTAACTTTTTTGTTGTTTTTCTAGCTTCTAAAGGTGACAGTTTAGTAAATTTATTCTAAGTATTTTTTGCTTAATAGAAAAATAATTTTTAGGGCTATATATATTTCTTTGAATATAACTTTGGCTGCATGCCATAGATTTTGGAAACCATTGTTCTAACTGCTATTAATTTTTATGTAGTCTCAAGTTGATATTTTGATTTAAATGTTGTTTGGAAATATGTTTCTCAAAAATTATTAAGTAGCTAGAAAATTTTATTTGGGGTTTCTGTTAATTGTTAATCTCTAGTTTCATTGCACTGTGGTCAGAGAATATAGTTTGTATAAGTGTTGCTTTTTGCATTATATGTGTGTGTATAAATAGTCAGTTTCTTGAAATGATTCCATGGTCATTTATAAAAACGTAATATTCTCTGTTTTGGGGGCATATGTGATTTTAGATATATTCATTAAATCAAGATTATTCATTATGCTACTAGAATCTTCTATTTCTTCATGGCTATTTGATCCATCCAATTTTAAGGTTTTTTTTTTTTTTGTAAGGGGAAATTTGAATTTAAAGCTTTATGGAAATTTAAAACATACACAAAGTAGAGATGGCGATATAATAAATCCACATGTACCAATCATCCAGATTATCAATTATGAATATTAGACCACTCTTATTTAATCAACATACCCCCACTTTTGGGAGTATTTTGAAGCAAATCCCAGGTAACGTATCATTTTGCCAGTAAAATACTTCAGTTTAAAGCTTTAACAATTAATGACTTTTTCTTAAATAGTCATAACTGTAATACTTCTATCATAACTAACAAATGTAATCCTAACTCTCTAATATCATACAATATCCAATTCATGTTCAATTTTCCCCAATTATCTCAAAATTGTTTTCTTAAAATAGGTTTGTTTGAATTAAGATATGAATGAGTTTTACACATTATCTCTTTTAATTGTTATTAACTGTTCCTCCTCTCTTTTTAATGCAATTAATAGGAAAGTTTTTGAAATGGGTATAATTCTAATTCTGCCAAGTTTCTTGTTTTTCTTACAGTTTTTGCCTTATCATTATTTTACTTTTATTGTTGTTCTTTAATGCTTTTTATTTTTTACTGCATCTTTTAAAAAAAATTATTTCTTTGTTTCACTAAATCTGCTATAGTATTTCCTTGAGTGTGTTTTTTCTTTTACAATGGATTCACGTATGACAATGTTTCTTAGATACATTTGTTATAAATAAACAAATAAACACAAATACATACAGACACACATTTGTATCCTGTCCCCTAGAAGAAACCACTATTCTGATATCACCACAGATTAGTTTTACCTATCCTGAAACTTCATATAAATGGAATCATACAGAATGTTTTCTTTTGTGTCTGGCTTCTTTCAGTTAACATAAGGTCTATGAGATTTATTCATATTTTTATTTTTATTTTTTTTTGAGATGGAATTTTGCTCTTGTTGCCCAGGCTGGAATCCAGTGGCACGCTCTCGGCCCACCGCAACCTCCGCTCCTAGGTTCAAGTGATTCGCCGGATTACAGGCATGTGCCACCATATCTGGCTAATTTTGTGTTTTTTTAGTAGAGACGAGGTTTCGCCATGTTGGTCAGTCTGGTCTTGAACTCCCAACCTTAGGTGATCTGCCTGCTTCAGCCTACCAAAGTGCTGGTATTATAGGTGTGAGCCACGATGCCCAGCAGAGATTTATTCATATTTTTGCATGTGTTAGTAGTTCTTTTTTATTGCTGTGAAGTATTCCATTGTATGAAATGGACTGCATCACGATTTATTCACTCTACAACTAGTGGACATTTGGGTTGTTTCCAGTTTGGGACTATGATGAATAGTGCTGCTAAGAAATTCTTGTCTGTCTTTGTTTATCTTTTGGTGGATATATGTATCCATTTCTATTAGTTGTATACCTAGATGTCAGGTTGCTGGACCATATAGGTGTATGTTTAATTCTTGCAGTTATGGGCAGAGTTTTCCATGGTGGATGGACAAATTTACACTCCTATCAACAGTCCCAGTTGCTCTGCATCCTCGTCAGCACTTGGTAGGTTTGGCCTTGTAAATTCCAGCCTTTCTGGTGGGTAGATTGTGGTTTTTATTTGCATTTCTCTGATGTGAAATTAGAACCTTTTAATATGCTTTTTGGCCAAAAAAAAAAAAAAAACCCCAAAACAAAAAAGCAACCATATGTGAGGGTTGATGTGCTAATTTAAAAATATTTCCACAAATAGGTTCAAGATGTTCCTTTCTCAGAACTTTAAAATTATTGATTCATTATTGTCTGAGATTTTAGCACGTAGTGTTACAGATGAAAAAAATCTTATTTTTCTTTCCATTGTTGGCAACAAATATATTATTTACTAGTCTGGAAGCTTATAGGATATAATCTTTATTTTTAATATCCAAAAATTTTACCAGGAGATTTTTAATGTGTGTGTTTTTGTGTGTCTTCTTTTCATTTGTTTTTTCTTCATCTGGTGGGCACTTTTTGTTTAAAAATTCAAGCAGAAGAAATGGTCAGAGAAACTTTTTCCCTTTTTCCCCCACCATTTCCTTGTGTCTGTCTTTCTGGTTTTATTATACAAATATACAGATAGTGAATCTTATGGATTTATCTTCCATATCTTATTTCTTTCTCTTATAGATTGTTACTTTTCCCATCTCTCTGTCCTTGAGGAATTCCTCAAGTTGGTCTTTTAAATCAATAATTTCATTTTCAGCCATGTTTCGTGTTGCTACTCACTGCTTCTATGAATCTTTCTGTTTCATCCATTATGCTTTCAATTTCAAGGATTTTTTCCTTTCCTGCTCTCTTTTTCTGAAGTGGTATGCTATCACTCCATAAAATCAATCTTACTGAGCATACCAATTAGAATTTAATCTTTCCTTCCATTCCTTCATTGCCATTTTTAAATTAGAGGCCATTTGTTCTAATTGCTCAGCTTGCTGAGATGCTGGTTATCCTTATTTTTTTTTTTCTGTTCACGTTTATAAATGGAGGTGTAGATTCATTTATATTGGTAGCTGATGTGGGCGTTTCCAGCAACTGCCTTGTTGTTTATACTCTAGCTATCTTTTCCAAGAGCTTAAGGGTCCATGGGCAGGGTTTATCCGCAGCCCAGTGACTAGAGGATGAAGCAATAGGTGGATTTTATTTCAGGGTGCTTGGGCTTGGGCCAGAAGTGAAAAGAGGAGGTTAACCTTTCTCTTCTCTCACTCCATCAGGGTAAGGTGGGTAGCTCAAAGCTACTATGGAGGAAATCCCCAGTTGTCCAATTGTAGTCAGCAAAAAAGAGAATGAGGTGAGTGCCTGAGCTGGTGGCTCCCTAATGGATTTAAAGCAGAGCTTTATGAACACTTTCTTTTGTTCTCAGGTCAACCTGCCTAAACCTGCTGTTGAGGTCTCAAGAGGGTCTTTTTGCTCGGTTGAAAAAATGTTATAGCAGAAAATAAGGAAGTAATTCCAATGAAGGTCAAAAAAAATTAGGACATGTTTCTTTTGTAAGAGTTTCCCTCCCACTCAGTATCTGCTGTAATGGCCCCAAGTTGTCCCTCCCTGATCTCTCTCTGGCCCTCCTGCTTGTGTTAGAAACCTCCCAGAACAAATGCTCTGCCTCATATAGGAGACAGTCCACTCCTGAGGCCCTGTGGCAAACAGAGAGCCTTTCAGGTGAAAAGAACACTCTCATGTTGAATTCTCCAGTTTTCCCGACTCCCCCACAGCTGGGCGATCCAGGGTCCCCTTGGCCTGACACTCTGACCCTGGCGGCCTTCTGCTGCTCTACTAGGGACAGCCATCCACTCCTCCCCTGACAAGGATCAACCTTTGACATGACAGTCAAGCCTTCAGCCATTGATTGTCAATCTGATCCCATCTGCTTTATATCTTCCCAAAATTCCTGTACCTGTCTGCTGCATTGAGAATGCCCTGACTTGTTTTCCATGACTGCTACAGACTTTTGCATCTATTTTTTATTTCTTTGGTAATTTCAGTGGGATGTAAAGAGCGAAGAGAAGGAGGAGAGTAATCAATTCACCATTCTGAAATGCTGCCACATGAGCAGAAATATTTCCCCATCTCTTTGCTCTTTGCCTATTAACTAGTCTTCTCTTCATATCTTATTCATAGGGATCATGGTTTATTGAGTTTTATTGAGTGCACATAGCAGATGCTGTTTAAAATTTACTTCTGTTTTGTGAAATACATCATTTTCTATAAGTTTCCTCTGGCTCTTGAATTCTTGCATTTTTTTTCAAATGCTACAAAGAAAAGCAAATCAAGCAAACAACTGGTACACAAGTAGTGTGCTCACAGAACCTTTGACATTAAAAAAAATGCACCTCTGTTTCCTATAACAGATTGAATGTCCTTTATAGGCACCCACCTCATTGAGTAGTGAAGGTAACTTACTAATATCACAGTCTTCCACACTTAAAAGTCTCTTTTCAGTTTAAATAGTCATCTAGTTTTCTCACTCAGGGTGATTTCAATGATAAACATGATTTATTTAGGTGAACATGCAGGCTGTCAGAATTCTGCCTGTTCTTCTTTCTCCTCTTCAGGTAGACATCTGGCTATATAAGGGCTTACTATAGAGTCATACTTTGGAGATATTGTGGGTTCTGTTCTAGACCACCACAATTAAGTGACTATTACAATAAAGTGATATTTTTGGTTTTCTAGTGCATATAAAAGGAAATTTTTGGTTTCCTAGTGCATATAAAAGTTATATGTACATTATATTGTAGTATATTAAGCTTGTAATAGCATTACATCTTAAAAAATACTTTATTGCTAAAAAATGCTACTAATCATCTGAGGCTTCAGGAAGTTGTAACATTTTTGCTGGTGGAGGGTCTTGCCTAGTTGTTGAAGGCTACTAACTAATCAGAGTGGTGGTTACTGGAGATTGGGTTAGCCATGGCAATGTCTTCAAATAAGATGATGGTGAAGTTTGCCACATCAATGGACTCTTCCTTTTATGAAAGATTTCTCATAGCATGCAGTGCTGGTTTTTTGACAGCATTTTACCCATAGTAGAACTTCTTTAAAAATTAGAGTCAGTCCTCTCAAACTCTGCTGCTGCTTTATCAATTAAGTGTATGTAATAATCTAAATCCTTGGATGTCATTTCAACAAGGTTCACATCTTCAAGGAACCACTTTCTTTGCTCATCCATAAAATGCCACTCTTCATCTGTTCAAGTTTGATAATGAGATTGCAACAATTCAGTCATATCTTCAGGTTCTACTTCTAATTCTAGCTCTCTTGCTATTTCTACCACATCTGCGGTTACTTCCCCCACTGAGTCTTGAACTCCTGAAAGTCATCCATGAGGCTGGAATTAATCTCTTCCAAACTCCTGTCGGTGTTGGCACATTGACTTCCTTCCATGAATCATGAATGTTCTTAATGGCATCTAGAATGATAAATTCCTTGCAGAGGTTTTCAATTTACTTTGCCCAAATGCATCAGAAGAATCACAATCTATGGCAGCTAGAGCCTTACAAAATGTATTTCTTAAATAATGAGATGCGAAAGTTGTTCTCTTTCATATGGTAAGCATAAGCTGGGCTTATCCCAGGGCCCCACAGCTTCCTTCATGTTATGCTGGAAAGGGAGCTACTGGCCCCATATTCTGAGCTCCTCACATTTAGCAGGGTACAGGTTCAGTATCCCTAATTTGAAGATTCAAATTCTGAAATGTTACAAAATCTGAAACTTTTTTTTTTTTTGTTTTTTTCGAGATGGAGTCTTGCTCTGTCACCCAGGCTGGAGTGCAGTGGCGCGATCTCGACCCACTGCAATCTCTGCCTCCTGGGTTCAAGCAATTCTCTCCCGAGTGGCTGGGATTACAGGCGCCCGCTGCCACGCCTGGCTAATTTTTGTATTTTTAGTAGAGACAGGGTTTCACCATCTTGGCCAGGCTGGTCTTGAACTCTTGACCTCGTGATCCACCTGCCTCGGCCTCCGAAAGTGCTGGGATTACAGGCGTGAGCCACCGCACCGGGTTCAAAATCTGAAACTTTTTTTGAGTGCTGACATGATAGTCAAAGGAAAGGCTCATTGGAACATTTTGGATTTTCAGATTAGAGATGCTTAGGTAGTCAGTATAATGCAAACATTTCTTTTTTTTTTTATTGAGACAGGGTCTCACTCTGTCGCCCAACCTGGAGTGCAGTGGTGATCTCAGCTCACTGCAAGCTCCCCATCCCAGGTTCACGCTATCCTCCTGCCTCAGCCTTCCGAGTAGCTGGGACTACAGGCACCCGCCACCATGCCCGGCTAATTTTTTGTATTTTTTTTTTTAGTAGAGACGGGGTTTCACCGTGTTAGCCAGGATGGTTTCGATCTCCTGACCTTGTGATCTGCCCACCTTGGCCTCCCAAAGTGCTGGGATTACAGTCGTGAGCCACCGTGCCCAGCCTAATGCAAACATTTCAAAATCTGAACACTCCTGGTCCCAAGCGCTTCAGATAAAGGACACTCCACCTATATTTCGAAAGCCCCTAAGGTGTACACGTTAGTTGACCTTGAGTTGGGTGAGGCTGGGAAACAAGATCCTGCCACCTGATATCCCCACTCTCCTGTCTCCTTTTTCTTTCCCACAAGACCCCCTCCCCTGCCAAACCTGGAAGGGACAGGTTTCAGGGTTTCTGGGTCTTTTACATCAATGTTTTATGTTCATTCTGGAACTGTGGTTGCTGGTCACACCAAGGTGAATACAGAGTTGGAGAATAAGTGTTAGGAAACCTCTAAAGCAATGTGACGCTGCAGTGTGTTTAAGTGTGTGATAGTGTACTCTCTCTTTGAGCAGGGCATAGGCCAGTTATGTGTGAGTCATACGCATTGCATGCTGAGTGCTGACCAGGCAAACCATGTTCAGGTCCATGAAAGACTGGAAATTTAGGAAGAAAGCCAACAACAGGTCATTCACTGCAAATTCACGGCCTGGCCACCACAAGTGTTCATGTGTAGGCATCCATTCTTCCATTGAAACGCTATGATTTTGATATTCTGATGCAAATTAAAGGATGTTAAAATATCCTTTGTTCCTATGGCATTTTGGCTTTGAAAAGCAATATCGTCTTGACTAAAAAATTCTGATATGGTGCATGCTAGTGAAAAGCTGAATGAGCCATTCTTTCTTTTTGCATTCCTGGTATAGTGTGCTTTGGGCAACTAGGAAGAAGGTTAGCTGCACAAAAATACAAAAAATACATTACATGGAGTTCTTAAAAAATCCCTTTTTAAATTGGTCTCAAACAAAGAGAGATCTATCCAGGTTGGAAAATGCTAAGTATTAAAATTCTCCTTTCACCTCAGGCTGGAAGGCCCTGTGTTGAAGTAAGGTAAGAGGAGCAATTAGGGTGACAGGATAAGCATCTGTAAGGATGGGCAGTAGGACTCCTGGTGGTGTTCAGAATTATTTGAATGACTTGGAACTAACGTTCTTTAATTAATAAAGCTTGACGAGTTACTTTCTAGATACTTTTATAGACATTCCCCAAATTAATTAATTAATTTCTAGAATGACTTTCTATAATTCTTAAGTTGGTAGGATTGTGTAAGGTAGAAAATCAATTCTGTTTCCAGATCCGCAGCAGTGGAATCATACAGTGCATCTTGCTGTGCAGGAAAGTGTGATGATGTGTCTCTAAATGATTCTTGGAAGGCAGGGGCGGTGTCTCCATTGATAAGGAGGAGTACTTTTAGTTCCTATTACTTCAGTATTCACAACCTCCCACAAACATAAGCACACACTCACACACTTCTGTGCTGGGATTACAGATGTGAGCCACCATGCCTGGCCAGTCATACCCTTTTTTACTCCTGATGTTGGTAATATTCTTTCTCATTTGCTTCATCAGTTTATCAATCTTATTTATCTTTTAAAATAATTAGTTCTTAACTTTGTTGTATGATTTCTATTTCATAGATTTCCTTCCTTATCTTTATTATTTCCTTCCTTTGATTTTCTTTGGGTTTTGTTTGCTATTCTTTTTTTTAACCTTACTAAGTTGGAAGCTTACATCACTAATTTTAGACTTTTCTTCTTTTCTAACATATGCATTTGGAGCTATAAATGTTCCTCTTAGTAATGTTTTGGCTGTAAGCCACAAGCTCAAAGTATTTTCTAATTTACGTTGTGATTTATTCTTTGACTTATGGATATTTAAAAGTGTGTTGCTTAATTTGGCTGGGTGCAGTGGCTCATGCCTATAATCTCAGCACTCCAGGAGGCTGAGGTGGGTGGATCACCTGAAGTCAGGAGTTTGAGACTAGCCTGGCCAACATGATGAAACCCCATATCTACTAAAAATACAAAAGTTAGCCGGGCACGGTGGCGCACACCTGTAGTCCCAGCTACTCTGGAGGCTGAGGAAGGAGAATCGCTTGAACCCTGGAGGCAGAGGTTACAGTGAGCCGAGATGGTGCCACTGCACTCCATCCTGGGCCACAGAGCAAGATTCCATCTCAAAAAAAGAAAAAAAACAGTGTGTTGCTTAATTTCCAAGCATTTAGAGATTTGTTTTTGGTGTGTGTGTCTTCTTGTTATTGCTATCTAGCTTAATTGTGCTCTGGAGCCTGATCACTACTTCTCTGTGCCTACCTCTCTCCAGGCTCACATGGGCAGTCTTTAAGATGGCTCAGTCCTGCACGGTCAAGCCCTCAGTGCTCCCTCATTATCTCATGCACCTTGCCCCATCCAAATCTAGGCTAGAAGAAGAGAAATTGAATGACAGAGCCTTGCCACCTTCTCTTTCTCTGTCTTTTATCATCATCCCTGCCATTTTTATCCTGCAATTAAAAAAAAAAAAGAAAGAAAAAAAAAAAAGAAAAAACTTCTCCTGTGTCAACTTCTTCCTGAATGCAGCTAATACCTCATTAAGGACATAAACATGGCTCTAAACCATGGGAGAAATTTATGAGCCAACTCCTCTAAATTGGTCCGTGATATGCTAAATAAAGAAGGAAATAAGGGAGTTTGGAAAATTTCTTCTCTAGAAAATAGCTGGCTTGCAAGACTATTATTCTGCTGCATAATCGTATGTTTGATTGTCAGGAACGAACTATTCCTGTGGCCTTTTTTTCTGCATGCCTCCTGTAACAGTCTAACCTCCTTCCAGGCAGAGTGTTGCCCAGGATGAACTAGGCTGAAAGTCACATACCCAGGAATGAGAAAGAGAAAAGCATACTCATTTTTATTTAAAAAATTTCCATCTTATAACAAGAGAAAAGTCTGGGCACATTGAGAATAGCAGCTGCTATCTGTGCATAATTTATATTTTGGAAGAGGTTTTTCCATTCACGGCGTTGTTTAAGCATGAACAATTGGGCTGTTACGGTTATGAGGCTAAGCAGGTTCACAAAGGTCCCAGTCTCAGGTACTTGGATGACGTGGAGCTTCTGGGGCCACAGTGGGACCTGGCCATGGGGATCAGCCATGGTTCTGGTTGTGGTTGGAGAGAAAGACTAGGGATAGGTGTAAGTGGAGTGAGGCTATAGGAGTAGGGGGTATCTGACTGTGACAAGCCCGGAATGCTGGCGACATGCAACTGCTCAATGGAGAGATGAGAGTTGTGAACCAGGCAGTGAGGATGTGCCATGTGGGAAATTATTCTGGACCAAAAGAGGTAACCCCTGGCTTCTGCATACCTCCCTGCCCCCAATCCTTTTGAATAACAGAGGAATCGCTTACAGAGTCTCATGTATTTAGAGATATCCAGTTATCTTAGATCAGACCCATGGCCAAAGAAATGCTCAGGAAATCGAGCTCATGTTTCTAACCTGATTGTAATTTCATCAGTGGCCCCTGTGTAATTATTTCCCTTTTATTTTACTTAACACTAACAAACAGCCTGTAATGAAATTTTTTTTGTTTTGTTTTGCTTTTAATGGAGAGAATCAATCTTTCTTCTCCAAATAATGAAGTTGAGTAGAACACCACGCATGAGCAGCAGAGTCGTCCTGGCACAACTGCTGTTGCTCAAGGTGCTCTTTTTCTTCAAGCCCTTTAAAGCCCCAACAACAGCCTGAGGCCCAGGCCTCCCTGAACCTGTGCTGCTCTGTCTGTGCCCTGAAGCCCCCAGATAAAACTCTCCATCTCCCCAAAGCACCAGCAGGTAGTTTATCTTTCACAAGACAGTCAGGTAGACTCAGGTGTGTATGTCTTTGCAGTGATTTCCCATGACCATGGTTAAAAATCCCAAAACCCTTCCCAAGTGAAAAACAGAAGCCGGACTACTTAAAGAATGTTCGTTGGAAATTCAGGTACTGGGCATAATGTCCAGGCTCAGGTTCTGGCTCCCTAACTACCAGCAGTGTGATATTAGACGAACAATGCAACTTCCTTTTTTTTTTTTTTTTTTTGAGGTGGAGTCTTGCTCTTATCACCCAGGCTGGATTGCAGTGGCATGATCTCGGCTCACTGCAACCTCCACCTCCCGAGTTCAAGCAATTCTCTGCCTCAGGCTCCTGAGTAGCTGGGATTATAGGCGCCCACTACCACGCCTGGCTAATTTTTGTATTTTTAGTAGAGAGATAGGTTTCACCATCTTGGCCAGGCTCGTCTTGAACTCCTGACCTCGTGATCCACCTGCCTCAGCCTCTGAAAGTGCTGGGATTACAGGCATGAGGCACTGTGCCCGGCCAATGCAATTTAAGTCTCTGTTTCCTTATCTTTCAAATGGAGAAAATAATATCCCAGTGAATTTCATTGGATCTCTGGGAGGAATAAATGACAATATATTTCTAAAGTGCTTAGCATTGTTACTTAGCATACTAACATATTTACTCAATTAAAATATTAGCTGTCGTTCTTGCTTTTGTTCTTACAGTTTCCCTCTCTAGGTGCCCAAGCCTCCAATCTGGCTGCTGGAATACAGGATGCTCCTATCCTTCAGGCTGCAAACTGCCTGGCTCTTGGTGACTTCCACAGAAAACAGCTGCTGGTTACCTGTAACAAGGAGACATCACAGAATGACCAAGTCTCCCAAGGATTCTTCCTCCCTGATCAAAGTGAGCTCAGAGGGCTGGGGGCTGCACCATGCCAGGCTTGGATTCTGCCCTACAAAGAGACTGGGGGAGTTAGACAAGCCCACTTCCCCCACAGCGACTCAGACAAACAAAGGCAACCTGCAAGTCACTGACTTGGCTGTCTTGTGGAGTAATTAATCTCCCTGAAATTAATGGCACCTCAAAGGCAGGCAGCTGCAGTGGCTGTGCACATCTGAACTGCAGGATTCATCTGCATCCGTGAAGACATTTAACAGGACAGATGACACCCTGTGGGTGCCCATGGCCCTCGGGAACCCATACAACTTGCCCACGAGTTCCATAAGCACGGAGGAATGGGGTCACCACCATGGGGCTCCCTGCCTACCTCCTCCATTCCCATTAACAGAAGTAAAAAAGCTGTCCCTCAGAAGAGGAGAAAGCCTGAGGTGGAGAAGCTAAGTGACCTTGAGCAAGTGAGTGAGCCTCAATCTTCTCCAGCAAAACCAGCACATTGCTTTGGAGGATTAGGTCCTTTGTGTGCAGAGCATCATTCAGAAATAAGAAAACAAAGAAAACCCAGCCATCTTACTTCAATGCATCTACCAACTTCTTGGGGGAAGGCTTTGCAGATAGAGATTGATTATGGAAACCTGACATTTTAGAGGCTGTTCGTCTGAGACCAGGGGACATTTGGATGAAATTTAGAAAACAAACGATTAAATATGTTTTATTTTCATTCAAGTGATGGGCTAAATCAGTAGAATGATTAGGGTCAGGGATGGGTGGGAATCAGGGGAGAGGTTGGCTCAGGGATAGGGTGAGACAGGGCTGTGTATTACACACAGCATGCTGAAATAACATGTATTATTGCACAATTTGAACATGCTCTTTTTTTTTCTTTTTTCTTTTTTCTTTTTTTTTTTTTTTGAGATGGAGTTTTGCTCTGTTGCCCAGGCTGGAGTGCAGTAGTACAATCTCAGCTCACTGCAATGTCTACCTCCCGGGTTCAGGTGATTCTCCTGCCTTAGCCTCCTGAGTAGTTGGGAATACAGGTGCATGCCACTGCACCCAGCTAATGTTTGTATTTTTGGTGAGATGGGGTTTCACCATGTCTCAAACTCCTGACCTCAGGTGATCTGCCAGCCTTGGCAAAGTGCTGGGATTATAGGCATGAGCCACTGCTCCTGGCTTGAGCATGCTCTTTTGATGGGGCTGTGTTCTATCGCCTGGGTCAAAATGTCCCTTTTATCTAAACAGTTGCACAGTGCACAATCACTCAGGCCAGTTGTGGACAGAAACCTGCCGTGTTTTGTTTCCTGCTTTTGGGGAATGGTCTTCTTCAATGAAGCAGTGACAGCAAGATGCAGACAGCAGCAGGCTGAGGTTCCGTGCCCGGAGTTTGAGTTATGACTCTGCCCCCTGGTGGCTGGGTGACCTTGGGCAGGCTGCATGACTTCTCTGTGTCTTGCAACCAGGGCTCTTCCTCTGCCTCTCAGCTGCTCTTCCCTGGAGGGTTGTGGGAGAGGCAAGGAAAGGGGCCCTTGAGGTAGTTCAGCTACTGAATCACAAGGCAGCCCTTCCAGCCTGGCAGAGCAGATGGAAAACTGGCCTGTGTTCCTCTGTTCAGGGTGTCCTATGGAGTCAACCCTTAGGGGCTGGCAGGACCTAATAGATAGCCTGAGCCCCAGAAGCCTGGGGGAAACGTTTCTCTCTCCAGGTACCCAAAGTACATCATAAGGCCAGCTGCAGAAGGGATGCAGGTCAGGTGCCCTCCCAATCCAGGGGCCGAGGTGCGCATGTGACCCTGGTGGAGTGCTGGCCAAGATGGCTGGCATCCTTGGCTTAGCATCTCCGAAAGAGCTCGCCCTAAATTGTGCTCATTTGCATAACCTAGTTGTGGGCTTGGTTGACAGGGACAGGAAGCATACTGGGAGTGGCGTAACGAGACTGTGGAAGGCTGCAGGGGAAATCAAGTCCCAGTTGCTATTTTCAGACTTAACTCTCTCCTGAGGGCCAATCTTGCCAGTTGGACATCTTCACTGGGATGTCCTGCGCTGTTGCTCTTGGCTCCATAAAGTTGTTATCATGTAGTTCTGTAGTTACGACCCAGAACCACCTCCCCTCTACCCACCTGCCACTATCACAGGACTACCCTACCAATCCCTTCTTCTCCTCAACAGGCTTCAGTGTGGCTCTGCCCCTCACTGACTGGGTAGCCTGACACAAATCATTCATCCCTTTGAACCTCCGCTTGCTCATTTGCAAAATGGGGATACTAAGTAACTACCTCATGGGATGATGATGAGGACTTAGAGGAATTAATATACATAAAGCACTTAGAAGAGTGTCAGGTTGCTAGTCAGCACTATGTAAATATCCCTCTACCAGCTTTCCATCTGAACTTACCTTGTATTGGGAACCATACTAGATCCTGCAAGTTCAAACTCTTAGCACCACATTTCCCAGAATATGCTTGATGGAACAGGGTGGGGAACACCCCAGTGATGCTCAGCCTTTTGGGAAACACTCTATGTCATGGTCCCCTCTGCGATACTCTCACTGCATTTGAAAAAGGAACATCTTCCTTTTGCTTCCTTTCAAGGTTGGCCCATGCTCGTTTCTGTACAGACATAAATAAGAATGGTTTCTACTTTTTTTTAATGGTAGGAAACAAAACGATTAAAATCATGACACATGAAAATCATGTGACATTGGGATTTCAGCGAATGTACAGTTCTACGAGAACACAGCAGTGCCTGTTCATTTACACACTGTCTATGGCTACCTTTGCACTATGACAGGCAGAATTGAGTAGTTGGGACAGACACTATCTAGTTTTGCAGTCATGGTAATGCATAATGATGTTTCCATCAACCACGGTGGTCTTGTAAGATTATAATGGAGCTGAGCCAGGCGCGGTGGCTCACACCTATAATCCCAGCACTTTGGGAGACTGAGGTGGGTGGATCACCTGAGGTCAGGAGTTCGAGACCAGCCCGGCCAACATGGTGGAACCCCCATCTCTGCTAAACATATAAATATTAGCCAGGCGTGGTGGTGTGCATCTGTAGTCCCAGCTACTCAGGAGGCTGAGACAGGAAAATTACTTGAACTCAGGAGGCAGAGTTTGCAGTGAGCCGATATCGTACCACTGCACTCCAGTCTGGGTGATAAAGCTGGATTCTGTCTCAAAAAAAAAAAAAAAAAAAAAACAAAAAACCCAAAGATTATAATGGAGCTGAAAAATTTCTATCACTTAGTGGCATGGTAGCCCTGTTAACATGATAGTGCAATGCATTACTCACGTGTTTGTGGCACTGTTGGTGTCAACAAACCCACAGCACTGTCAGTTATATAAAAGCATCACACTTAAAATTGTGTCTAGTACATATACAAAAATGTTACTGGTTTATGTATTTGGTATACTATTTATTGTTATTTAAGAGGATACTCCTTCTGCTTGTTAAGAAAATAGTTAATTATACAACAGCCTCAGGCAGGTCCTTCTGGAAGTATTCCAGAAGCACGCATTGTTATCTTAGGAGATGACAGCTCCATGTGTGTTACTGCCCCTGAAGACCTTCCAGTGGGACAGGATAAATGAAAGAAAGATATGTTGATGCTCCTGACCCTGTAGGCCCAGGCTCATGTGAGTGTTTGTGTCTTAGTTTTTAACAAAAAAATTAACGGTTATAAAGCAAAAGTACAAAATTTTAAGTAGAAAACACCTTAGAGAATAAGACTATAAGAAAGAAAATATTTTTGTACAATATTTTGTATAATATGTTTGTGTTTCAAGTTAATATTATTACAAAACAGTAAAAAAGTTAAAACAGGCTGGGCGCAGTGGCTCATGCCTGTAATCCCAGCACTTTGGGAGGCTGAGGCAGGCAGATCACCTGAGGTCAGGAGTTCGAGACCAGCCTGGCCAACATGGCAAAATCCCATCTCTACTAAAAATACAAAAATTAGCTGGGTGTGGTGGCACGCGCCTGTAGTCCCAGCTGCTCAGGAGACTGAGGCAGGATAATCGCTTGAACCCGGGAGGTGGATGTTACAGTGAGCTGAGATTGCGCCACCGCATTCAAGCCTGGGAGACAGAGTGAGACGCCATCTCAAAAAGAAAAAAAAAAAAAAAGAAAAATTTAAAACAATTTAAGTTTATAAAACAAAACACTACAGTAAGCTGTTAATTTATTATGGAAGAAACAAAAATTTTAAAATAAACTTAGTGTAGCCTAAGTGTACAGTGTTTATAAAGCCTGTACCAGTGCACAGTAATGTCCTAGGCCAAATTCACTCACCACTCACTCAGTGATTCACCCAGAGCAACTTCCAGTCCTGCAAGTTCCATTTATGGTAAGTATCCTGCACAGCTGTACCACTTCTTTTCTTTTATACCATATTTTTACTGTACCTTTTCTATGTTTAGATATGTTCAGATATATAAATACTTAACATTGTGTTACAATTGTGTCATGATTTTTATGTGTCATGACTTCGATCTTTTATTGTTTTCAACCATTTAAACATGTAGAAACCATTCTTATTTCATGGGCTGTACAATAACAAGCAGCAGGCAGACTTTGCCCAACCGTGTTAAACCCAGTGAACAAGTTGTACCATTGCCTACAGTATTCAGTACAGTAACATAGTGCACAGGCCTGTAGTCTAGGAGCAATGGGCTATACCGTATAGCCTAGGTGTGTAGTAGGCTCTACCATCTAGGTCTGTGTAAGTACATGCTATGATGTTCACATAACGACGACATCCCCTGAGAATGCATTTCTCAGAACGGATCCCCATTGTTAAGCACCACATGACTGAATTGAACTGAATCTTCCGTTTTCTTTCAAGTCACACCTGGTGGCATCCCGAGCAGAGTCAGCGACAGAGCAGTGGAGTGTCAGAGCTCTCCTTGACCTCTTGATTTTTGCTAACACCTATGCCCGTGCCAGTCCTGAAGGCTCTGCCATCTGAAGCCCTTCCCACCAGCTCTGGCTTTCCAGGTCCTCCCTGAGCCCCACAGTCCTCTGTGCCTGGGTCCCTTGTATAGTCTCTTGCTCCCCACCTCTCCACTCTACGCCCTCTGGCAACCACCCACCCCAAATTGCTGCATTAATCACTGTGATGGTTAATGCTGAGTGTCAACTTGATTGGATTGAAGGATACAAAGTATTGATCCTGGGTGTGTCTGTGAGGGTGTTGCCAAAAGAGATTAACATTTGAGTCAGTGGGCTGGGAAAGGCAGACCCACCCTTAATCTGGTGGGCAAAATCTAATGAGCTGCCGGTGATTATAAAGCAGGCAGAAAAATGTGAAAAGGAGAGATGGGTGTAGCTTCCCAGCCTACATCTTTCTCCCATGTTGGGTGCCTCCTGCCCTCTAACATTGGATTCCAAGTTCTTCAGTTTTGGGACTTACACTGGCTCTCCTTGCTCCTCAGCTTGCAGTTAACCTATTGTGGGACCTTATGATTGTGTAAGTTAATACTTAAAAAACTCATTCATATATATATATATATATATTTCCTATTAGTTCTGTCCCTCTAAGAGAACCCAGACTAATACAATCACCAACTTGCTACAGCTCCCCATCATCCACAGAGTCCAGTTCCTTTGGGCAAGCATTCAAGGAACACCATGCTCTGGCTCCACCCAAGCCTCCCTGTCTCCTTGTGATGTCTATTGTATTTTTATCTTGTTTGGCAGTTAAAAAAATTAAATCTTTTTTATTATTGATAATTTGCTGTTATTTTCTCATCCCAAATATTCACTTTTGTGCTTACTTTTGTTTTCATAATTTTATATTACTTTATTTACTTATTTATTTTTGAGATAGAGTTTTGCTCTTGTTGCCCAGGCTGGAATGCAATGGCACG